TAGCCTTGAGCAAATACAACATATGTGTGTCAATACTCTCAATACACACATAGGGGAATAACCTCAAAGTCCTAAAAAAGGGCAAACCAAAAACCTACTAATTAAAAAATATATTAATGGTAGTTGATTTTAGGACTCAAACAAACCCCAATAATGGATCCTTTATATTATCTCCACCACACCACCTTTACACTTCTCCTTTTTTTCTCTACACACACACACACACTCTGCATGATATCACCATCATCATCATCATCTTTGCACTCTCACCACGCACCACATCACTCATCCTAACACAAACAGTTCATCAATCTCATGTCAATCACAAATCAAACTCAACCTTATATATCACACCCCAAACCTCAACACTTTGAACACTACTCAACACACCAATTTTCATCCAGAAAAAAAAAACCACTTCCCCTGTTCACAAGCCATGGACCAAGCCACACCCCCACCGGAGCACAAAACCCTCCTTTTCACCGAGCTGAAAACACAGTGGCTCATCACAACTCCCTTAATCTGCATGAACCTCACCTGGTTCGCCAAGATCGCCATCACCACCGCCTTCCTCGGCCGCCTCGGCGAGCTGCCCCTCGCCGGTGGCACCCTCGGCTTCACCTTCGCCAACGTCACCGGATTTTCCATTCTCAACGGGCTTTGTGGGGCCATGGAGCCCATCTGCGGCCAGGCCTTCGGCGCAAAGAACTTCAAACTCCTCCACAAGACCCTCGTCATGTCAATTTCTCTTCTGTTGATGTCCTCAATCCCCATCTCTATACTATGGATCAACGTCGACAGAATCCTTATTCAGTTCGGCCAGCAACACGAAATCGCGTCACTCGCCGGAGATTATCTTCTCTACATGCTCCCCGACTTGATCGCGATCTCGTTTTTGTGTCCCCTGAAAACCTACCTGAGCACGCAGAACGTGACGGTCCCGATCATGATTGCCTCGGCTCTGGCTACCGTCCTTCACGTGCCGGCTAATATTTTCCTTTCCCGAGCAATGGGCCTCCGCGGGGTCTCGGTTGCTGTATGGGCAACTGATTTTGTGGTCGTGGCCTTCCTCGGCGCATACGTTTTGGCTTCCGAAATGAAAAAAGGCGGGAAATGGGACGAGGGGGGATGGTGGGACCATAAGACTGGCGACTGGTCGAGGTTGTTCGGGCTTTGCGGGCCGTGCTGCCTCACGACGTGCCTCGAGTGGTGGTGCTACGAGATCATGGTTTTGATAACCGGCCGCCTCCCGAGCCCGGCCCAGTCGTTGGGTACCTTGGCCATCGTCCTCAACTTCGACTACCTCGTCTTCTCGTTCATGTTGTCCGCCGCCACGTGTGCGTCGGTCCGCGTGGCGAACGAGGTCGGAGGGGGGCGGGCGGGCCGGGCCCGCCTCTCGGCCCGAGTCTGTCTTGCTGTCGGGGCGGCGGCGGGGGTCGCCGGAGGGGCAGCAACGGCGACGGCGGGTGGGTGGTGGGGACCGCTGTACAGCCGGGACGGAGGGGTGGTGGGGAAGGTGAGGAGGGTGATGCCGGTGATGGCGGCGGTGGAGGTGGTCAACTTCCCGTTGGCGGTGTGCGGTGGGATTTTGAGGGGGACGGCGAAGCCGTGGCTAGGGACTTACGCGAATATATTCGGGTTTTATGTGGTGGCGCTGCCGGTTGGGGTGGTGCTGGGGTTTAGGGTGGGGATGGGGTTGGAGGGTTTGTTGTTGGGGTTTGTGGGAGGGGTTACGGCGTGTTTTGCGGTGCTGTTGGTGTTCGTTGCTAGGATTGATTGGGACGATGAGGTGGATAAGGCGAGAAGACGAGTGGAGATTAGTGATCGGGATAGTGAAGAAGGGGAAGACGAGATCAGGAACGGGAAACAGTCGGGCGAGGTTATGACGTGACAGCTTGTGGTTTTATATGAATGTATGTACAAGTATCAGGAAGTGGAAATAATGATTAAATATCTAATGTTCACGATATGTCCCTGGGAGTTACAGTGTCATTTGTTCAGGCTAATGTGATTAATTTCGATGATCTTTTTATTCGTCTATTGGTTAGGCTGATGTAGTTGTTGCAAATGGTGCCCAATCCGTGTAAGGAAGAAGAAAGTGAGAGATAATGCTAGAAAGGATAACAAAATAAAATTCATTCATGGCCGAAAAAGGATTCCTTGACGAGGAGTGGCATAAATACGATAAGGAGACACAAATGGAAAATGATTGTTGGGGAAATGCTACAGGAACCATTCCGTCGAGATTTGTAACTGTTAACATCATGTAACCGTCGTGGATAGTTGATCTAACAGTTACAAAACCCGACGAAATAATTCCGTAATAAGACCCTGGAATCTCCCACTGTTGTGGTGACAATGTGGGATATATGAAGGATAATTCAACAAAACCGAACTTTTTTTTTGTTTTGTTTTTTTTTTTTTTCTTCTTCTTTTCGTTGAGGAATAAAGGTTTGTGGAGAAGAATAATAATCTTGAAGAAATGTTTTTGAGTGGAGCAAATGGAAATCCAACTAGGAATCCTGAATGGGAGTCGAGTCCTACAAGGCACGTCAAGCTTCGTGAGTGGATGATATATATATAGATCATAGGACATTTTTTAATGAATCATTTTATTTGCCACCTTTTGTTCATCATAAATTCTGCATTAGAGAGTGTAAACAGTCACCAATCATGTATTATTGATATAAAACTTTCATTAAGAATATCGTAAATTAAAAAATAATATAAATAGAAATATGGTTTATAATAGTATAGGAAAATGTTAAAGTCCCATTACGGAACCATTCCATCAGAATTTATAATCGTTAAATTAATATGTAACCATAAGAGATAGTTGATCTAACGATTACAAACCCCGACAGAATGGTTCCAATAGTATAAATACTTTTGATAAAAATAAGAAGAGACAATAAGATAGGAAAAATGAATTGTTCGTCTCTCAAAAGATGAGTGGACAGATAAGGAATGTTGGTACGCTCCCAACGGTTACGATGTTGTTTCTAGTAATAGATGTAATATGCAAAGTATCAGGACGATCATGTGACCGCAAAATAATAAAAATATGCTTCAACATAAACGTGTACGAAAAAACAAGTGTTAAATGCATCACACCAAAAATAAACATAAGATATATTAATAAAATTAATAAACATATAACAAAGTATCACATTGATGACAATCGATAATGCAGCCACATGATTTGGGTTCGAATATATGCCCAAAACCACACAAAATTTGTAACAGTGGAAAACTGATAAAATTTCCAGCAAAGAGATTTAAGAGGAGGGCTTCTCGTACGTGTTCTGCTCTCTAAAAGTTGCAATAGCACTTCTGATCATACCAGCCACATCCGAGCGAACGAAAATACGAGTGTTATCCAGCACGTGTATTATAAACTTCTGTGACTGAGGCAAACCAGCATTCATGTTGATGATGAACTGGGCCATGGGAACATCACTGAACAGGAAGCGGGACTTATATTTTAGTAGAAAAGCTGAGAAGGTGAAATTTTTTAAGAAAAGATGGGCAGCACTTGTGTAGTTAACCAGTCATTATGAGAATCGTAAGAAAGGATTAGCTGCCAACACCAACGTCGATGTTTTATGTATTTATCAGTCCTAAGGTACAGAAAGTATCACTTGGGATTAGCCTACAAAAGGGATTATACTTTACAATTGCCTTCAAGGTATTACATACACTCACTGCTCTCGCGGTTGAGTTCCAAGTTCGCTTCACGAATACAAGTAACCCAGTCTTTAGGTTACAATTTGTTAAGTAGAAACACATACGTAAAAAGGGTTTTGGGTTTTTTCACTTTCCTTCTTTTTTCTTTGTTAAACTGAAGAAGAAAGTTAATCAACCCTATTTTCTATTCTTGAATATGTAAAACTGGATGAAGGCAAAAATAATAAATTTACCATCACTATCAGACTAAGAAACTATAAGTTCGCCACAGATGAAAGTATATTATTTTACCATGTAATGTACAGTCCTTTGATTGCATTCACCATGATCTGCTCAAGAAAAATTAAAAAGGAGAATGAATAAAAGTCAAAGATGCGAAAGTTTTCACAAGTCAATACAAAATATGCATCATGGTAAAGATGCCACCAGTTTGCGTAAGGATCACAGTGAAACGTTATCAATTTTAGCATGAATTACCAATTCGGATAATTGATGATATCAGTCAACCCACCTACTGAAAAGAAGCCTCCATCAGCAACCAAATACACCAAACAATACATATGATCAATCTAAAGTACAAAGAACGTTAATTAATCGCCAACAACAAAAGAACATGCAAAATAATAGCAAGGCCCGGCATGTATGAACACTTAAACCGACAGACTTCAAAAATAATTACCAATTATGTGTGATACAGGAGAAAACCTTGGGTCGCTACGGAAACAGCCTCCTCGTATAATTACAAGGGTAAGGTCTGCGTACAACTGACCCCCCAGACCCCAACTAGTTGGGAATATACTGGGTATGTTGATATTGTGTGATACAGATATTGTGTGATACAGGAGAAACCGGTAAGTAAACACATTGCAAAAATTATATCTTTTCCTCAATCGATTCACTAAACCGTGCACTGGGATGAACGGAAGAAAAATTATACATTCCCGCAAGAAACAAAGAATCATTTCTGGTGAAACAGTGAGCGGAAACTTCACGAAATAAAACCGGAATTGAAAATGTCCCGCATCATCATACCACCAAGAGCCATAGGTTTTAAAACGATCAAGTAAAAAGTTAGTTTAACATCATAGCTTTATTTCTACTGCAAATTCTACAATTATCTTTACCCTAATAATCTTTTGCCTTAATTATTCAGTGTTCATAACAATTCTAACCCAAAATTACATAAGAAAAGATACCATTGAAGGACTACAAACTACAAAATACATGAATCATTAAAACCCATTAGAGGCAGATCAGCTGTTGTGCCTAATTAAGGTCAATCTAAGGAAATTTGATCGGAAAAAAGAAAATCGGAAAATATCGTACAGTAAATAAACTAATCTGAAAGAACGAAATCTCACCTGCGAACAAGATTGAGCTTACTACAGAGACCCCTCACGGCGGCGGAGAGGCGGCGGCTGTGACAGGAGCAGAAGAGTAAAAGAATGGCACTGATGGAGGTATCAAATAAATCGTCATACTATTTTATCAATAGCGTTACTCTCCGTAGTAGCGTTTATGTAATTTTTCGTTTTCGCTCTCTTTCAATCTTGTATGCACGTTTCTCCCTTCTCAAAACATACTACGGTTTATATTTAGTAAAACCAGCTGATAAGCTAGCTGATATCTGATAAGTTAGTTTATAATTTATCAGTAATTTTTTAACTTATAGTTTATAGCTTATGACTTATAGCTGATAAACTAGGTTGGAATAAAAAATTCAAATAGCTTATTTGAAAAGCTACCTAAGGAAGCTTATCAAATAAGCTCAAAAGCTCATCCTATCAAACGAGGCTTATTTAAATACATGGAGCTTATAAACTAACCAAATAAGCTATAAGCTAGCTTATTTGTCTACCAAACATAGCCAGAACATGTCGATTTTTGATTGCATATATAAAATAAATAAATATTCTTTTTTATATAAAATTAAATCATCTTGTTAATACTAACTACAAATTAATTAAACTAGAAATCAGCAATTCAAAAATTCATATATTAATTTATTACATAATAATAAAAATAATTATCATAATATAAGTCGGGCAGGTCGTATAAGTGAAAAAAATTTGATTTTAAGGTAAATACTAAACTATTTTTCTTTAAAAAAAATAAAATTTAAATACAAATGCGTAATTATGCGTGTTGTACTAGTTATACATTATATGTTGTATAAATATTTAAAATTTACAAGTTCGACAGTGATTTATCACATTATAAAATTTTAGTAATTATTAAAAATGAACCATACAAATATAAATCACATAAGTTACATATATATCACTATATGTATGACAAAAATTGTAATAAATAATACTCCTTTTTATTTTTATTTTTAAATGTCATTTTCGTTTTATCAACTATTAACCAAATAAATGTCGTTTTGGATCTTTTGTACATATTTTTTCATTATTACCCTCATTTAGCTAATAAATACATCACGTCTTTTCATAGTCTGTTTTAATTTTTTCTTAAAACGTTCGTCTCTATGTTATTGTGTATATTTGTGTATTTACCGTATTAGCCTTAAGTTATTTGTAGCCCTACTTTTGTATATATATCCTTGGTTAATAGATAGTTGAATCATACGATTGAGATGACCAGTTTCCCAAATTCATCTAGCCAGTTTCATATCACTCTATCTTCATTAAATAAGGTTATTATTGACAAAAAATATTTTTAATTAATGTGCAACTTCTCAAAACATCATATATTAAAAATAAGAGTTAGTATAATTTTGTAATTTTGAGTGATCTGACCGCATAATTTTAAAATTGGTCCTATAATTTGGCCACTTTCCAAAAAACCACCCCGCCATTGGCCACCTTCATTCTTGGTCCTATAAATTGTCTATTTAATCAAATTTGGTCCTTTTCTAATCAAATTTGGTCCTGTAATTTGACATTTTGGTCCTTTTGTAATCTCATTTTAATCCATATTCTGGATAAAAAAGACCAAATTTGATTAAACTGTTAAATTATAGGACCAAGTTTGAAAGTGACCAATGGCGGGTTGGTTTTTTGGAAAGTGACCAAATTATAGGACCAATTTTGAAATTATGCCGAGATCTGACTAACTAATTGACTGGAAACTATTATTATTATTAATATTATTATCATTATTATTATGTGCTAAAAAAATGTGATGCAATCATGTGTAATTGAAAACTATTGAGGTAAACGTCAATAGTCCAACAATTACTGTAACTGAAAATGTGCTGAAGTCGTGTAAAAAATCTTATTTTTCTAAAGAAAAGTAAAAGGTGATTGTAGATAGAAATGAATGCGCCTGATGATTAGACATGACCTAGGGCCGAACTGGCTCGTGGCCCGACCCACGAACGGGCACCGGCCCGACCTGAACCGGTCCG